ATGTGGCTAAGGTTTTCCTCCAGTGGTTGCTAAATTCTTATGAGTTTAGCTCTAACATTCAGGCCGACCCCTCACTTTGGCACAGAGTGTGAAGTAAGGGTTGAGGTTTGTTTGGGTTTGTATGTGGGTGTGCACTTATCCTGGTAGAATTTGTTTCTTTCCCGTCTTCGACCGTAGGTGTGTGGCTGTATTCCTGGACTCCCTGCCTTGTCCCGTTCCTCTGTACCTTTAGCCTTATCCCAATTACACACCGCTGTTTACCTTAGCTTTATCAAAGTCTTTCAATCAGATCACGTGACTCTTCCAAGGTTTTTCTTTCCCAAAACTGCCTTTGGCTATTCTAGGTTTTCTGTTGTCCGGGTAGACTTTGTAGCCATCTCACAAATTTCTACCAAAGCCAAAAGTCTGCTGGAATTTTGATGGGCGTGGAAGAAGTGACCCTGCAGCGAAACAAGGGTTTCCCACCTGTGAACACAGTAGCTCCGCCTTTCATTTAGGGAACTTTGTAAATTTCTCTGTGCAATATCTTTTGGGGTTTGTGTATAAATTTTACATGTTTTATAAGTTCTTAATGTTTCTGATGTTGCCATGATATTTTTTAAAGATTTATTTTATTTTCATTTATGTATATGTGCCTATGTGTATACCACATGCATGCAGTACCTGTGGAGGCCAGAAGAGGGTGCTGGATCTCCTGGAGCTGGAGTTACAGGCTGTTGTGAGCATCCCTGTATGGGTTCAAAGATCCGAATTTGGATCCCCTGAGAGAGGAGCAAATCCTCTTAACAACTGAGCTGTCTCTCTGACCCCATAATGGGATTTTTTTAAAGTATTGCTCTTGAACCTTGTGACTCACTTGATTCACTTATAAGGTCTAAGACCTTTATTATATATTCCTTGGCATTTCTTTATAGATGAACATGTATTTTTTTAATATAAGACTTATTGCTTTCATTTCTTTTTCTTGCCTTATTACCCTGTCTAGCTCCTCTAGCTCCATGTGAAGAAGAATGCCATCCTTTCCAGAAGGAAAAAAACCATTTATTCTTTCACCATTAAATATGATGTTAGCTGAGGTTATTTTTTTCCCGTTTATTTATTTATTAAATATTTCTGTCTCTTCCCCGCCACCGCCTCCCATTTTCCTCCCCCTCCCCCAATCCAGTCCCCCTCCCTCATCAGCCCAAAGAGCTATCAGGGTTCCCTGCCCTGTGGGAAGTCCAAGGAACCCCCACCTCCATCCATGTCTAGTAAGCTGAGCATCCAAACTGCCTAGGCTCCCACAAAGCCAGTACATGCAGTAGGATCAAAAACCCATTGCCATTGTTCTTGAGTTCTCAGTAGTCCTCATTGTCCGCTATGTTCAGCAAGTCTGGTTTTATCCCAGGCTTTTTCAGACCCAGGCCAGCTGGCCTTGGTGAGTTCCCAATAGAACATCCCCATTGTCTCAGTGTGTGGGTGCACCCCTCGCGGTCCTGAGTTCCTTGCTCGTGCTCTCTCTCCTTCTGCTCCTGATTTGGACCTTGAGATTTCTGTCCGGTGCTCCAATGTGGGTCTCTGTCTCTGTCTCCTTTCATCGCCTGATGAAGGTTAATATTCAGGAGGATGCCTATATGTTTTTCTTTGGGTTCTCCTTATTTAGCTTCTCTAGGATCCCTAATTATAGGCTCAATGTCCTTGGTTTATGGCTAGAAACCAAATATGAGTGAGTACATCCCATGTTCCTCTTTTTGGGTCTGGCTTACCTCACTCAGGATAGTGTTTTCTATTTCCATCCATTTGTATGCAAAATTCAAGAAGTCCTTGTTTTTTACTGCTGAGTAGTACTCTAATATGTATACATTCCATACTTTCATCATCCATTCTTCCATTGAAGGGCATCTAGGTTGTTTCCAGGTTCTGGCTATTACAAACAATGCTGCTATGAACATAGTAGAGCATATACTTTTGTTGTATGATAGGGCCTTTCTTGGGTATATTCCCAAGAGTGGTATTGCTGGGTCCAGGGGTAGGTTGATCCCGAATTTCCTGAGAAACCGCCACACTGCTTTCCAAAGTGGTTGCACAAGTTTGCATTCCCACCAGCAATGGATGAGTGTACCCCTTTCTCCACAACCTCTCCAGCAAAGGCTATTATTGGCGTTTTTGATTTTAGCCATTCTGACAGGTGTAAGATGGTATCTTAAAGTTGTCTTGATTTGCATTTCCCTGACCGCTGAGGAGGTTGAGCATGACCTTAAGTGTCTTTTGGCCATTTGAACTTCTGTTGAGAATTCTCTGTTCAGCTCAGTGCCCCATTTTATAATTGGGTTGATTAGCCTTTTACGGTCTAGTTTCTTGAGTTCTTTATATATTTTGGAGATCAGACCTTTGTCAGTTGCGGGGTTGGTGAAGGCCTTTGTGTCTTAGGGTATTTTTTATTATGGATCATCTATAAGGAATGGTTTCTAGCTGGCTATAGTGCTGCTGAGATCCATTCTAGAAACGAAAGGGGGATGGGTATGCTCATCTAGTGCCAGGAAGGCCTTTCTCCCAGCCTGTTGTTGCTCTGTACGTTGACTGCACTCTCGTGTGTCTTTTCATTAAACACTTGAAGAATGGCCTGCTGTTTACAGGTGTGGTCACCTGTGGTAACCTGTACCGTTCAAGTGGGAGGGGTAGGGCTTCAGATACTTTCCCTTGCTCCATTAGGAGGCAGAGCAGGAATTTTGGAGTCTGTTTGTCCAGTTCCAACTCCATTCTGCAATGTTAGGCAAATCATTCAGCCTCTCTGAGTCACGATTTCAGCCTGTGACATGAAAATATCAGCAAATGTCGAAGGCTTCTGAAGATTAAATAAGTGAGCAAATAAAATTAAATGCTTAAAACAATGCCTGTTGCCTGGATGCGCCTAGTTTAAACTCAGGTTTCCAGTAGCTATTTATGGCCGCAGAAAAAGGGCAACTGTCCCTTTAAAAGTCTTAAACCTCCCACAAAGGTGCTTAGGAGGAGCGTTGATTTCTTTTGTATTGTACCATAGCTAGTATAGTAAAGACTCTTCAACACTCCCCGCAGTGCAGACTGCAGACTAGCTGTTACACCTGTGGGCAGTGACATTCTCAGAGCTGATGCCAGCATGGGGGGGGGGGGGGCTTGGAGGACCCGCTGCTCCCTGGATCCTCCTCTTTCTCTTTTTTCTCACGCTCTTGAGGAGGCAAAGATGTCTCCAGGGCCTTTCCAGTCACTTAGCTGTCCCTGGTGTTCTGCTGGTCAGACCAGTGAAAAGCTTTGTCCCCATATCACTCTGTTTGGGCCATCTGCATGGTGGCTTGTTCTTCCCACCGCCTGCCTTGCGTGCACTCTTCAGGAGAGCTGAGCCCTGGCATTATCCTGTAAGATGATAGGTGAGTGCTGTTTCCAGACTATCTTCAGGAACTTGCAGCAACTGCCAGAGTTTCCGTGAATGCCCCACCACGGGGTCAAGAGTCACCAGTCTCTGCCCCACCTTGTCAGTTTGAACAGTGACACCTGTCCAGGGAGATACGGATTCAGGAAGCATCCGTGCCAACACTGTCTGTCCATTCCCTGACTGTCATGATGCCCAGTTAGAGGTGGAGCTGGAGAGTCACGTGACATGGCCCTCCTGACTGTGCGCACTGCCCCGGGTCCTCATATTGAATTATACATGGCAGAGGCTCTCTGCAGATCTGTTTTTCCGCTAGCGCACAAAGCACCATTAGAGGAGGTATCTGACAGAGAGAGCTTCAGGCCCTGAAGAGGCGAAGCCACCACAAAGTTGGTTACTTTCCAACTGAGAGGCCTGTCAGCTTGGGGGTGACACAAATGGGAAGTTGATACATCAAGTGTAACTTTCTGTTTGAGTCTTAGTTCCTTGAGAACACACACACAGTCACTAAAAGTTTGATATCAAATCATTCAGTCTTCGAAACAAAGAAAGAGGAGGAGGAACAAAGTAAAGGTCAGCAGCGCCAAATTTAACTGAGGTCTCTGGTTAGATAAGAGGTGCCTCGGGCTCCATGCCCAGGAGACCCGCTGCTTGGTGGGTGCCAGTGAAACAATGCACACAGACAGGCTGTGGCTCCTGTCTCCGTGACTGTTCATTTCTCATGTCATCAGACACTGAACACAAAAGGAAGCACCCTATGGCAGTGGAAGCAAGGACACTGAGTACTGCACCTCAGCAGTAAGCTTGTCACCCATGGCTGAACCTACTACTATTACTTGCTAAATGGACTTAGTTCATTGTATATATGCTTCCTGAGCAAGCGAAATTATAGGCCTTTACCACCAGGCCCACCTCAAATTTCTCCTTGAACATGTGTTGCCTCCTAGATATCAGGTATAACTAGACACCATACCTGATATGTGAGGACTTAACATATACACATGCACACACACACTTATGCACACATATGCACATACACACATACATAAACACTCATATATACACATGCACACATACACACACATGCATACATGCACACACTCATGCACACATACATACACATACATAAACACTCATATACACACATGCACACATACATACACACACACACACAGACCGGACTTCCTGGACACCACCAGGACATTCATTCTGCTCACAAGTTGCTCTCACGGGTCATGCATCCAGCCTCTCAGTGACTGCGCAATGCCCACGTGTATGTTGTATGGACCCTTTGGATATTTGCTGGGTTGGTTGGTAAAGGCCTCTAAGCCTGGGTACTTGGGAGGCTGGGGCAGGATCACCAGTTTAAGCCCACCAGACAACTCAGTGAGGTTCTGTCTCAGGATATGAAATTAGAGGAGGGTGCTATTGGGTAGTGTCATTCAGTCCACGGTAGAGTGCTTGGCTTGTGTGCCAGAAGCCCCAGCACCTCCCTCTCTCTCAAACACCCACACTGCCCCCCCAAAAAAACCAAGAAAACAAAATAAAAAGGAAATTTTTGAGTTCACTTTTCTCCAAATATTCCTCATGGGTTTTTTCTCCCCTCCCTTGCCAGGTGGTAACCAAGAAAGGGGATTTCTTCAGTGCCTGGAACTCCTGCATGCACCATATCACCTTACTGTCTCTGGCACACATCCACAGAGGTGAGTTGGCTCTTGATGAACGCTCATGGTTGGGTGACTCAGAGCCCTGAAGGCCACAGGGGAACATAACTCTGTAGAAGGGAAGTCTTGCCACCAGTCTGAGCCTCCTGCTAGATCTAGGGCCCTGAGTACCTTCAAGAGACTGTTGTAACTCAGCTCCCTACTTATCAGGGAAACTACCCAGGCAGATAGCCCACCAGGACCCACTAGCCGGAGAGGCATTAGTTTGTACATCAATTCCCCCAGGCCCTTGTCCAACCACATCTGGAACTCCTGAACAAATCTACATATACAAAACCAAAGCATACCGGATAAAAGGCCCCTGTCTGAAGAGGTCTGACCTTTGTCACAGCTGCTTAAACCTAGTCCTCAAATGAGGCAGCTGTGTCAATCCAAGTCCCTGATTCTCAACCCAGGACAGTTTTACCCTCAAGGGAGGTTTGGCCATGTTTGAAGATGTCAGGAATGTTGGATGCAGACAGTGTTATTGGTGGATGGTAGGTAGAGGCTAGACTAGCATTAAATGTCCTCTATGTTACAGGCCGGTCTCCTACAGTCCAGTACATAAATAACTCTGAGACTAAGAATACTCATTTTGGTCTAAAGAGACTAAAATAACACAAGAAAATGAAAAAAAAAACATTTGGATCCACGACTTCATGTCAGTGGAATTATTTAATATCGAAAATCATCTAGTTTACAACATGATGTCACTGTGTGAGGGAAAGGTACTAAAAGAGAAAGGCCAGGCTCTCAGTGAGCCTGATGGCTGTGTGGGAGACTTCTATCACATGGGGCCGCTGATGGTTATATAGAGCAGGGCCAGGCTGGTCCCCAGCACGGCTGCAGGGGCCTGGCTCCTGTTGCCTCTTGTCTGTGGGTCTGTTAAAAGGGAGGGCAAGGTATTGTGGCCAACAACCAAGGAATGAATATGTTTGGCTAAACTTCCAGTCTGCCTACCACTCACTCTCTCTCCAACCAGCATGTGCCAAAAAAAAAAAAAAAAACAAAAACAAAAACAAAAAAAACAAAAAACAAAAAACAAAAAAAAGAAAACAAGAGTGTGCTGTGGGATTCTGTGCCATGTTCCAGTAGCTTCAGGGATGCCCAGCATCGTCACTCAGAGCTGAACTAGAGGGAAAAGTTTCAGCTCACATGAAGCCTGGCTGCTTCCCTTCCTCCGACGTCCAGCTCTGGGAACTCTGTGTTAGAGTGTCATCCTTCAGGGCTAGTGAGCGCAGGCTGGAATGAGGATGTGTCGGGGACACAGGTTCTTCACAGAGAAAAGAAGCAGGTGGCCCACAGGAGGACCACCTCAGGGTGGCCTTTACACACAGTGACCCAACCCCGGAATAACCAGTGCCGTGTCTGCAACCCTGATTCTGTTTGGAGTCTACCTTCTACTCTCTGGGACAAAGAGGAGGAGCAAGGTAGGGACAGAGAGGATGGGGAATGGGAGAAACATTCACATCTCTGTGTGTTACTAAGAGGCAAGATTGGATTCCCTCATTTGGAGATGCAAAAACTTTGTATACCCTGAAGTGTGTCGGCTGTGGGGAGACTGGTTCATAGTAACTGAACTTGGAAATGACCGATATAAACCGGAATGCCGGTTCATTCATCACGTCAAAACCCAGCTGCTGGGGTCTACAAGCCATCCCTCACACAGGCAGAAAGCAACGTGCAACTAAATAGCAACCGAGGGTGCCTCAGGTCATGCCATCTGCATAGTGCATGCCTTCATGGCTGCAGGTCTCAGACCCACTGTCTACTGCCAAGGATTCTGTAGGTTACAGGCTGTCTGTGTTCCTGCACTGTCTTGGTAGCCTTGACTCCAGACTCATTTACTTAAAAAATCTTCTTCTATTGGAGGTTTTGTTTGTTTGTTTTCCATATTTGGTGATTAGGCAGAAACACATTGAACACAAAGCCCCCACACACACACCCTAGTTGAAGGCAGGTGTGTCTTTGACCTCTTCATCCATGGCAGGTAACTAGTACTGGACTCATTCTTGGAGTACTAAGGTCCAGATCCTGGGGGTCTTCCCTCTGGGCCCCGTTGTACTGACCACAGATACTGTCCATCCCCAAATCTGGTTCTAACGTGAAGGCATGGGGAGCCTTTTACATACTTTTCAAATACAAACACATCTTCAAATAGCCACCTGTCAACTTTCCATCTGGAACCAGATGGTTCACCTTAGAAGGACTGTGACTCTTCCGATGATGTCACACATTCCAAGTATAGCTGAGCTTGGTGTGTGGACAGTGCACACAGGCCCCAGGAGCTGGTTATCTGAGTTCACGTCCTGCTTGTCCTTCCACCAGCTCTGTGGCTGCAAGCCAGTCACCTGACCTCTCTGAGCTTCATTTACAGAAACTGTGAGCTATGGCAAAGACAAATCCAGATGATTACCCAAGGTTCTTAGTGTCTGACTCATTCCTCGTAATGAAAAGAGAAACAAATGTTGTTAACCACTATCATATATAACTGAAGTAGATCTTGTTCCTGAAGAGGAAGTTCAACAAGTTGAGTGGTAATGTTTGAGGTCTGAATGCCAGGAAGAGGCATCAGAGATTTGCTGTCACCTCAACAATTTTGAACTGTCAGTTGGTTAATAATAATTTAAAAAGTGATTATTTTCATAAAATTACCCTCAGGTTTAAGACTAGATATGGAGTTCTTAGGTGTATAAAAAAGAAAATTGATTTGAAGCTAGTATTTGGGGAGCTCAGGAATAATTTGAAATAGAAAACTCTATCTGTAGTGTAAAGGTTTAGGAGCCGGAGAGATTGTCTCCATGGGTCAGACTGCTTACTGCAGACACGAGGCTCTGTGCAGCCAGGTGTGACTGCACACCCTGCACTCCCAGCACCTTGGTGGGCAGTGATAAGAATATCCCTGGGGCTTGCAGGCTGCTAGCCTATCTCCACGCTCATTGAGAGGCCCTGGCTTCAGGAAATAAAGTGGGGAATGAAGCAGGACACCCAACATCCTCCTCTGGTCTCTGCATGCACAAGTGTGCTCATGGTGCACACACTCGTGTGCCTCCACCACACACAAAACCAAACCAATACATGCAATGCAAAGGTTCGAACACACAGACATGTAGCAGGTCCTCAGGATAGGGGAGCACTGAGCCTGGGACAGCCAGAAGATCTAGCCCAGATGTTGCTGCGTTCACATCCAGTCACTCTCCAGCAGAGGTCTCCAGGGGAAGGGACAAGAGCTCAAGAAGCCCATGGGTCTTTGCTGACCTGCACAGATATTGCCTGAGGACACTTTTGAAGGAGCAACACGCAGAGGGGGAGAGGGGAATCAGTCTGTTAAAGCTCAAACCTTAACATCTCCCCAGGTGGAAATGAACTCAGAATCGAGCCAGTTTTATTAGGAACAAATGGGGAGAAAAGCCTTCTGGCATCAGTATCAGTTTGTCACCTGAAGGCTAGGGAAAACTAGGCTTGAGATGAAAATGTTAAGCAGTCTCCAGTGGCTTCTGTAGTGGGACGTAACCATTACAGTGATGAATTGATATTTTTCTGTGAGGCACATATTTATCTTGCCCCAGAAAGAGCATCTCTGAAACCTCATGGTACCTAAGCCCCTAAGGGCGTGCCCATTCCAGGCAAAAAAAGAAAACAAGCAGTCATTAAAGAAATGGCAACATCCACGCTTCCCAGCTCTGTGCAGAACTGTCTGTGACGTCTCTCAAAGCCTGTGAGCTTCATGTAGCAGGAAGCCCCTTTCTACTTCTTAATAAAACGCCTGATAATTTTGAATGTCCATGTTAAGGGCAGGCTGTAATTATAATTAGAACACAGAATGCCGTGGGGTTCTGCCTACTGAGAATTAATTTCAGATTCCTTTCAAGGACGTGTGTGTTTTGAAACGAGGCTTTCTTTGTTAATAAAAACATGATAGCATGCATTATTTAAAACAGTGTCGTGTTTTGCCTATTAGTGCTGATTCCAATATTCTTCATGGGGCTAGCAGTTTCCTCCCAGTTGGGAATGGGGTTAGTCTTTGGACAAATTGCCTTTGCCTTGTTTAGCTTAAGCTTGCATCATTTTCTATGAAATTATGAAAATAAATTTGCCCCCTCCCTGAATGTATTTTAACATTACGGAGGCACTGAATGCTACCTCTTCATCTGGAAATCCTGTGTGGGTCTAGGCACTTACCATCCTTTACCACTACTGAAGTGGCCACTGTCAACCCTTTCAGTATTGTCTTTTGTTAGAACCAGAGGTTTTGAGTTCATCTTACCGTTTGAATAACGGGTTTGCGCGATGTTTTGTTCCTGCTGGAGGGTGAAGGGTGGAGAGGTGTGTCTGAGGGAAGAGCACGAGGCCCAGTGCCAGCTGGGACAGTGTGTTCTTTCTCTTGCCACTGGTTCTATCGATTTGGTAGCACAAACTTTGCCACAGTGGCCTCTGTAAATTCCATGTGTCTTGGTTTCTTTTCATCCGCTGTTGATAAAACACCCTGGCTAACACAGCTCCAGGGAGAACAGTTTATTCCCCCTTGGAGTTCAAGGCAGCAGGAGCTTGAAGCAGCTGACTGCATCCCATACATCCACAGTCGAGAAGCAGAGGGAGTGAACCCAAGCTGCCGCTCAGCTCTGCCTCTTTGCAAGATTCCCCACCTCACCTGCCATAATTAAGATAATTCCGCAGAGGGATTCCCCGAGGCTCATCTCGCAGAGAACACTGGATTTTGTCTACTTGGCAAGTAACACTAACCATCATAGCAGTGAGATTCAAGTGGCTCCAGGGAGGGAGTCCTTGGTATGGCTGCACCTGATCACAGCATCTCTGTGTCTGTCTCCATCAAATACATGGATGGTGGGGCTGGCCAGGGTGCTGAGGAAGGGCCAATGTAACTGGCTGACGGGCCTCTGTGGATTCAACCTCTTGGAGGGCCCAGGAAGGCAAGGAACGCACCAGTTTTGTCTCCCCTCTCTCAATCAGACATTCAACTCAGCCTGTGAAGGTATTCT